CTCGTTTGAGCATCATCCGCCTCAGACGACGCTCGTATGAAGCTGCGCAACTGGCGGCAGGTGACTACTGTTCAAGATTACACTGCGTCGTTCTCGGCACTTGCGGACCAAGTCGACGACCTCAGCGAAGCGGAAAGACGGGACAAATACGTTAGCGGGCTGCATTTCGATATTCAATACGAGTTGCAGCGGTCCCGTCCCAAGACGTTCGATGAAGCCGTCCAGCTGGCGTCAGCAGCCGATGCACTGCAGCAGTGGGCGAGAAAGAACAACAGGGATGTTGGTCGTTTTCGTGGACAGTCTCCCCGCCCCACGATCAATGGCGTGTCAGCGCCCGATGAAATATTTCACGGGCTATGTTTTCGATGTGACAAGCCAGGTCACCGAGCTAAGTACTGCCCGACGGCGCCCAAGAAGACGAAGAACGACAAGGAGAAGCCGGGAAATGGGAAAAGTCAGTAGCAGACGGGCCCCCTACTGACGAGGCTTTGTCGCCCGAACTTCAACGTTCCCACCAAGTTGTGGTACCGATACAGCTATCGACCGCACTTGGACGAATAACGGGAGCGAACCTGAAGATCACCCTGTGCTGGTAGAAGGCAAGGTTAACGGCAAAAAAATAAAGTTATTTGTGGATGGCGGAGCTAGTCACAGTCTCATAACGTGACAACAGTGAAGCAGTTGAAGCTGACGTTGGAAAAATGTCTTCCCCGAAATCGACGCGCGACTGGTGGACGAAACTCCACTTGCAATTAGAGAACGAGCGCGCATGGTGCGGATGAAGTGTGGCGACGACTTCGGATTCAGCATGCCCATGCTGGCCACGACGCTGGACGGCTGCGACATTCTGCTTGGGCGTGATTGGCTGCGAAAATACAATCCGAGGATCGACAGGACAACTGGCGAATGCAGCGTACACTGTGCGAACGGGTGGCGCGTACTTCCAAGCTGGCGTGGGAGAGATCCGGTGTCGACACGTGTCAACGCCATCACCCTCCAGCGAGCGGTTAAAAAAGGAGCTGAGTTGTACGCCGTCCACCTGGCCGACGCGACGGTCGACGACACGCCAAAGGACATTGACACACTTTGTGCCAGTGTCCCTGCCGAGCTCGCCGCGCTGATTCGACAGTACCCGGATATTTTTCCGGACGATCTGCCAGCAGGACTGCCACCGAGCGCCCCCGGGACCACAAAATTGACCTGGAACCCGGCGCGCAGCCTACAGTCAAGACCAGTGGTGGCTGACTCAGCCGGAGCTCACGGAGTTGCGAAGCCAACTGGACTACCTCTTGGAGAAGGGGTTCATTCGGCCCAGCACCTCCCCGTTCGCAGCACCCATCCTGTTCACGCCCAAAAAAGACGGCGGGCTGCGAATGTGCATCTACTACAGGGCGCTAAATCGACGAACAATCAAGTCCCGCTACCCAATCCCACGCGCGGACGATCTTCTCGATCAACTTCGCGGAGCTCGCTTCTTCTCGAAAATCGACTTACGCGGCGGTTACCATCAAATCCGAGTCTTCGCTGACGACTGCCACAAGACGGCGTTCCGAACCCGCTATGGCAGCTACGAGTACACAGTGATGCCGTTTGGCCTCACGAACGCGCCCTCCACTTTCCAACTCACCATGAACGGAGTATTCCGAGACCTGCTCGACAAGTGTGTCATCGTCTATCTTGATGACATTCTGATCTACAGCAAGACACAGGAACAGCACCTCAAGGACCTTGAGCAAGTTTTCCGGCGGCTGCAAGAAAACCGGCTCATCACGAAGGGCTCCAAGTGCGAGTTTCCTAAAATCCGAACTGGAATTTTTGGGACATGTCGTGGGAGCGGACGGCATAAAAATCGACCCGAAAAAAATCACAGCGATTCGCGACTGGAAGCCGCCGACGAATTTACAGGAGCTGCAGAGTTTTCTCGGGTTCGTTAATTATGTCCGGAGGTTTATCCCCAATATGGCAGGGATAACCGGACCGTTAACTGACCTGCTGCGGAAGGGCACTTTGTTTGAATGGGGGGAGAGACAGCAGACTGCTTTCGATGAACTACGAAATTCTCTGACGTCGCCCCCGGTCCTCCGAATCGCCGACCCATCTCGACCGTTCGAAGTCTTGACGGACGCTAGCGATTTCGCCATCGGTGCGATAATGTTACAAGATTTCGGCGACGGACTCCAACCCATCGCGTATGAGTCTAGGAAGTTGCAGGCAGCCGAGCGCAACTACCCCGTCCACGACAAAGAAATGCCGCCATCGTGCACGCATTCAAGGTGTGGCGATGCTACTTGACGGGAGCCGACGTGACAGTACGGACAGACCATAAATCCCTACAGTACCTCCGCGCGCAGCCGAATCTAAATCCACGGCAGATTCGCTGGCTGGACTTCCTCGAAAGCAACTTCCACTACACCATCACGTACAAACGGGGAACGAATAACATCGCTGACGCGCTGACAAGACCATCCGCCCACCTCGCCTCAATCATCGTCGCAAAATCCAACCCGCTGCTCACTGGCCTATTTACCCACAGCTATACCACAGACCCCTTTTTCGCCCGCAACCACCACCAACAAGCCACCACAGCCAAAGGACCCTACTTCCTAAAGGTCGGTACTGACCGTATCTGGGTTCCCGCCTACAGACTCCTCCGCGAATTACTTATTCAAGAAGTCCACGATTCTAACCTCTCCGGTTATTTTGGGGTTGATAAAACCCAGAAGTTACTTCACCGTTTTTATTATTGGCCTGATTCGGCGTCTGATGTGCAGAGATACGTATCCGCGTGCCTGATCTGCCAACGAATCCCGACGGCGGCCAGCTGGACTGCTGCAACCGCTCGAGCCACCCCAGCGACCGTGGCAACATGTGACGATGGACTTCGTCACGGGGCTCCCAGCCGCCGCCACGGGCAACGACGCCGTCCTGGTCGTCGTCGATCGTCTCACGAAGATGGCACACTTCGCACCCTGTCGCACAACAATCACAGCCGAAGATACAGCGAAGCTTTTCATCTCCACCGTTGTTCGTCTGCACGGCATACCATCAGCGATCATCAGCGACCGCGACCCAAAATTCACGTCCAAGTTCTGGCAGGAGACATGGGGGCAGTACGGCACACGCCTCCAGTTTTCCTCCGCCTACCATCCTCAAACCGACGGACAGACAGAGCGAACCAATCAAACTATGGAGCAGCTGATACGCACTAAATGCCCGGATCTTGCCCGGTGGGAAGAATTCCTGCCCATGCTGGAATTTTCGTACAACAATGCCCCATCCGCCACGACTAATCACTCGCCGTTTTTTCTAAACTACGGCATGGATCCGACAGTCCCGACGACTACCAACATCGACAACCCAGTGCCACGTTCCCAGCAGTTCGTGAACAGTTTGCAGGAGGCCCGCGAAAAAGCGATCGAATTCATTCGCAAGTCCAATACAACCGCCCGCCGCTACACAGATCTTCATCGCTGCGATATCACCATGGCTGCAGGGCAACTAGTCCTTCTCGACACAAAGAACCTTTGCCTGCCCCTGCCTTCAAAACTTCGTCCGCGATTCTGTGGACCTTTTCGTATTGTCAAGATGGTGACACCTGTCACAGCGAAATTATTACTTCCGGACGAGTGGCGCATTCACGACGCGTTCCACGTCAGCCTGCTTCGTCCCTACGTCGCCAGCACGTCTGCAGTCGCACGCCCAGCGGCCGCCCCAAGTGTCCGCCCGATGGCTGAACCGACACTTCAGCCTTTCCGGGGTTTGAGTCATCGCGTCCGCCTCAACTCCACTGGTCGCCACGTGGATTTTCTTGTCTGCTGGGTTGACCGTACAAGCGAAGACGACACCTGGGTCCCTTCCGACTCGCTTCAAGAACACTCGGTGCTCAAATCTTATTTGACCCGAAAAGGCGTTCCCGATGTTGATCACCTTCCTTAGGGGGGGGGGGGTAGTGTAAGGAATTTTATTCATTACCGGGTTGTACTGCAATCGCGTACACCCGAACTCTCGGCAGACCAGGCTCGGTCCGTTTCTGATGCGGCCCCGAGGCACGCCTGCGCCGCCTCCGACCCTTTCGACCGCGCCTGTACCCAACCTAGCCCTCCGGGCTCGTCGCCTAGCTAGAGCACTCGCTATATAATGCTAGGCTATCCTTCTTGTACTCGTCATTATTATTCCGCGCACTCTCAGTTATTATTCATAACAAAGCGGGAGCGGAGTGACCAGTGGTGGCCGATACAGTTACCACATCTATAATTTCCGTTTTCTCTCTTCCGCCATGGCAGTTATGTTTCGAAAGCTCCACACCAGGCCTCTCGATATCCTAGGGGTCACCCAGCAGTTTTCGAGTTTGCCCGGGATCCAAATCGTCCAGGCTGGGTAGCCCTAAAAGTTTGACTGTTTTTGCAGGCAAGAGTTTCGTCAAGCTCGGAATTAGCCACACCTGACAATGACAATGACAATTAACTAGGGGCACGAACGTTTACATTAGATTTTACAGGGCGGGTCTATCCCGTACTTGGAAATTGGCCGTGGGATAATTCTGGCTTGCCTGTCCATGGACGGGTATCGATATTCTGAATGCGTCAAAAGCAGGGCTATGTTAAAACATTACCCTGTTTTCCTTCACGAATCAGTGTAGTTACCCTAGCTTCCAGAGGCCTGCTCCACACACCACATATCTATGGCTTCTCGCTGGAATGGTCCAGCTACAGTTTTAGCAGCATGCTTCTCTTTCACCCTGCTCAAACCAACTCAACCCAATCCAACCTGATCCCACCCCATCTTATTCCAAGCCACTCCAACCCACCCCAAATCACCTAATCCTCTCCAACCAAACCCGCCTCACATGGTAACGATGTACCGCAAGCAACAGTGCTCTTTCCACACGCTCATTCCAGCGTGACTTGACCAAAAAAAAGAAAAGAAAAAAGACCAAATCCCGTGCGATCAACGCGTGAGGAGAGGAGAGCCTGAGGAGGAGGATGGCTGAAAGCCTGAGGATGACTGAGAGTCAGAGGATGCCTGCCTACCCTCGTGGTGGGATCTTTACGAGCCTCAGAAATTGGCTCAAATCACGTGCCTTGCTTCCTGGTGGGTCAGAAGCGACACGATTGGCGATAACCCTGTTGGCCAGGATTGGCAAGCACGCCGCCTGGGGTCGGATCGAGTCGTCGTCGGCGTTCCTACTAGGTTGGAAACGTCTTCGATGGGGTGCATTGTTGTTACTAGTATTCAGTCGAATCGAATAACGCCCTGTTGTTCTTATTGGAGCAGCAATACCATCCCCATCGCCATCGCCATCGCCATTGCTATCGTCGTCGCCATCGTTATAATCGTCGCCATGGTCGACACTGCAGAGCGTCGCATCATCGCATCGTCGCATCGTTGCAGCGTCGCAGCATCGCAAAGTCGCCGTCCCAATCGCACAGCTTCTTCTTCTCACGAGACACCCGACTCAACTTAATCTCCACCACCATCATCAGCAGCAGCAAGATCATTTGGTGCAGCCGCGGGGGCGTTTGAATCCTGTCATGAGTTTGGAGTTGTCTGAACAAGATCAGTCGGCTTTGAGACGTCTCTAGACAAAGAACAGCCGCCGGCTTCAAACAACTAGGTCTTCATCGTTAGCATCGTCGTCAGAATCGTCAGCATCGTCATCGGCATGGTCATCCGCATCGTCAGCATCCTATGATGGCGCGCCGGGGCTTTTGACTCCTCTGAGTTTGAAGTTGTCTGAAATACGAGATCCGGTTTCAAGCTGAACCTCAAGTCGTTATCGTTATCGTTATCGTCATCGTCATCATGGTGCGGGGTGTGTCCCGTGCGGCCTCTACAGCGGCCTCGGGGCGGCAAGCCACCGTCGCGGCATCATGCATCAGCATCCTTCCGCTAATCCGCGCCGGCCACGTGTCCTCCGTCTGGCACGACATCCTCCTCATTCCCCCACCCCACGTTCCGCCGACTTCCCATTCCCCCGCCGACTCCCTCTCCGCGCGCCGGCACCATCGCCGCTCGGCGGAAGGCCGCCATCCGCAGCCTCCGCCAGCCGCGCTCCCCTCCTCCGCCTTCACGTTTGTCTGCCGCTCCGCCAAGTCCCGCTCCGCCCCCCGTTCCGCCGATTCCCGCTCCGCCTTCTGTTCCGCCGAGTCCTCCTCCGCCGAGCGCGGCGGGAGGCGGCGGAAGGACGATGATCTTCTCCGGGAGACGTTCCGCGAGTCGCGGAAGATTTTAGCGCTGGACGGCAGTCTTAAAGTGCAGGCCGACGCGCCGCCAGATACTTCATCAGAACCGAACTCCGAGTCTAACTCCGAGTCGCTTCTCCCAGCGCCGTGGAACGTGGGTATTTTGCCGCAGACGTGCGTCCTCGCGCCGCGATCCATGTCGATGTTCTTCCGCTGGGGTGTTGATGGGGACCCTGCTGACTCAGCGAGAGATCGCCATGATACCAGCTGTGATGCCGGTGATGATGATTTGGAGGAGGGCAAAGAATCTGTTAAGGAGTTGAAGGATTCGTTATTAACGGCGTGCGATAACTCGCCGCTTGAAGCGCTAGAGATTGGGTCGCATGTGCGGGAGCCTGGCGACGTGTACGACGTTTTGCCGCTGCTGGCGATGCCTCTGCGACTGCAGGGGGCGGGGCGAAACAGCATGCCGATTTCGTGGAGGATTGTAACCATCGCGGCGGACGACGAGCTGGTGACGAGCGGGCAGCTGAAGCATTTGGGCGCGAAATTGTTGGATCTAGTGCGCGATTGGGCAAAGAAGGCAGAGTTTTATGGCGAAATCACTGGACCAGGTATGCACTGTTCCGGTTACCATGTTACCAGCCATCACATTTTCCCCAGCCAATGCCAGGCGGTCCCATTCTGTCATAATCACACCACACATCTCAACACCCGCATTTTCCCAACTAATTATCTCAATCAGGAATAGAGACTCCCTATGACAGCCTTTTCAAGAATGAGATGTATCGATCAGGAATCGAACCCATAACCTTGAACGAGAGGCGGTTGCCTTTGCAGACCTAATAGCAGTAAGAAATGCCTCGACCCCCTTCCCCGCCCTCCCCCTTGCCCCTCCTCTCCGCCTCTCTTCAGGTCGGTCTGTTCACCCCTATGACAGCCTTTTCCCCTCTCCCTCACTTATGAGCCTACCCAAAAGTCAACCCCCTTTATCCCTCCCCCCTCCTTCTCTCCCCCCCTCCTTCTCCCCCTGCCCCTCCTCTTCACGTTTCCTCAGGTCGGTCTTTTCACCCCTATGACAGCCTTTTTTCCTCTCCCTCACTTATGAGCTTACCCGAAAGTCCCTTCCCCCCCTTTCCCTCCCCGCCCTTCCCTTACCCCCTCCGTCTCCCCCTCCTTCTCCCCCTCCTTCTCCCCCTCCTTCTCCCGCTCCGTCTCCCCCTCCTTCTCCCCTCCTTCTCCCCCTCCTTCTCCCGCTCCGTCTCCCCCTCCTTCCCCCCTCCTTCTCCCCCTCCTTCTCCCGCTCCGTCTCCCCCTCCTTCTCCCCCTCCTTCTCCCCCTCCTTCTCCCCCTCCTTCTCCCCCTCCTTCTCCCCTCCTTCTCCCCCTCCTTCTCCCCCGTGCCCCTCCTCTTCACGTCTCCTCAGGTCGGCCTGTCCTCTCCAGCAACATGTTTTCCTCGCCTTCATTAGGGGAGGGAGGAGAGATAGTCGTATTGTGAGTCGACTCAAAATACACCCCCCTTCCTTTCTCCCCCGTTCCCCAGCTCTTCACCTCTCCTCAGGTCGTTCGGTCCACTCCAACAACATGTTTTCCTCTCCGTCAGAAGGCGAGGTTGGAGAGATAGACGTATTTTGAGACAACTCAAAATACACCCCCCCTCCTTTCTCCCCCGTGCCCCTCATCTTCGCTACTCCTCAGGTCGGTCTCTCCAATCCAACAACATGTTTGCCTCTCCTTCAGTGGCCGAGGGAGAGATAGAGCCCACGAAAACGTTGGACGGAGAGCGGGATTCCAGGGGGGGTCGGGGGAAGGAGGAAGGGGAGAAGCAAACCGAGAAGCAGACGATCTGGTACGCTAATAGCACGTGGAGGGACGGCGAGGAGGAGGAGGAGGAGCGGGAGGAAGCAGCAAAGCGAGCAGCGGAGCAGGCGGCGAGGAAAGCGGCGGAGGAGGCGGAGCGGACCATTCGGTACGCGCACAGCACGTGGAAGATCCTCTGCCACACGCTGCGCCGGCCCGTGCTGCGCCGCCTAGCGGGGCACGACAAGCACCTGGACGCGCCCTTCAGCAGTGGGCAGAGGAGGGGGCAGGTGACTTCATTGGAGGGTGAAGACAGCGAGACACGAGAGCAGGAGGAGTGGGAGAATGAGCAGGAGCAGGAGGAGGAGGAGGAGCAGAAGGAGGAGGAGGAGGTGGAGGAAGAGGAGGAAGAGGAGGAGAAACAGGAGGAGAAGCAGGAGCGGGGGAAAAGAGGCGCTGGGCGCAAGGGCCTGCCTGCCGCTCGTCTCTCTTTCTCCGCCAATCCTTTGAGCCCCTCAGCGCTGCGCATCCTGCCCCGGAGACCGTCCAGTGCTCTCCCCCCTTCCCAGTCGGCTCGAGAGGACGTGCACGAGCTGACCCCTAGGCGGTCTCCTTGTGAGTCAACTCAGAAACAGTGGGCGGGGCTAGAGCCCAGAGACCAGGCGCTAGAGGTGAGTGAGAAGGGCGTGCAGCTGACGCCAAGGCAGTCGCAACGGGCAGCAGGCAGCCGACTCCAAGGTGCTCCAAGGAGGAGAAGTTGTGAATGGTCGCGAGAGGTGGAGCGAGAGCAAGAGCGGAGTGAGAAGCGCGAGCATCTGACACCAAGGCAGGCTTTCGAGGCCGCTAGAAAGCAGTGGGCTCGAGACCAGACGCTAGAGGCCAGTGAGAAGGGCGAGCAGCTGACCCCAAGGCAGTCGCAAAGTCAGCGCCGAAAGGAGCCCCAGAAGCAGCACCGGAAGCTCCACCATCCGTCGATGCGGATCCATCCAACGAAATCGACGGCTGATCTCTCTCCTGCCGCCAATTCTCTAGATCTCGCCACCACCAGATCCATCGATTTTGCCGCCACCAAATCTCTGGATCTCTCCACCAGATCTTTGGACCTCGCCACCTCCAGCGCCTTTAGGCTCATCGCCCCTCCGGAGAGCTACGGCCTTCCGGGGCTGCTTTCCCCCAGGGTGGGAAGGGGCAGGGGAGGAGGGAGAGGAGGAGAGGGGGAGGCAGGTGCGTGGGGAAGGGAGGGCGTCGCGCATGGGCACCGGCACAGTTGCACGGACCTTTCCTCACTGGAGGAGAGACAGGAGTGGCTGCACAGTCCGAATTCCCCTGGTCTGGGGATTCTCTCTGCTGCGAGAGATGCGGTCGAGAATGCCAAGGACGTGGCTGACAAGGTGAAAGTTGCTGCTGCTAAGCGGATTGCTGTAGCGGGGACTGTAGCAGGGGCTGTCGCGGGGACTGTAGCGGGGACGGCGGGGACTGTGGCTGGCACTGTAGCAGGGGCAGCAGGGACTGTGGCGGGCACTGTAGCAGGAGCAGCAGGAGTGGTGGTGGGGAAAGTGACGGGAGCGGCAGGCTTGGTAGGAGGTTCGGTGACCGAGGCTGCTGGTAAGGTGGCTGGGGCCGCAGGTACAGTAGCAGGTACCGTAGCCGGGGCCGCAGGCTCGGTAGCCGGTACGGTGGCCGGTACGGTAGCGGGGGCGGCTGCGGAAATAGCGCATATACCTAGGGATGCGGTGGGGGTGGTATCTCGCAGGGTGAGAGACATAGGTGCCGGCGGCAAGGCCATGAGTGCGCGAGTGCGGCGCGGGGCAGAGGCTCGACTTGAGGCGGCTCAAAGCTCGGTGAAGACCATGAGTGCGAGAGTACAGAGGGGAGCTGAGGCGAGCTTTGGGGCGGCTCAGCATGTGGTGGAGGGGCGGCTGGGGGCGGCTCGGCACGCCAGGGAGGAGGGGTTGGGAGAGAGGTTCGGGGCGTCTCAACGCGCTGTGGAGGGCGGAAGTAAAACCTTTGCGATGAGTCGAACATTGGGTGAAGATGCTGTGGAGAGAGAGGGTATGCGGGTGTTGAGTGGGGCAGGGGCGCATGACGAAGCGGATGAGGAGGCTTATTTTGAGGTGCTCGAAGACTCGTATGATGCGTCGTATGAGGAGGAGGCAAATGTCGAGGAGCTCGATGTTTCGCCTGACAACGCTGTTAGGAGCAGGAGTATGGGAGAGCCGAGAAAGGCAGGGCCGCATTTTGATCCGCTCGATGAATGGCCTGAGAACGCTGTTAAGAGCAAGAGTATGGGAGAACGGATAGGGGCAGAGGCTCAGCCTGAGGCGGTTCAACGCTTCGTTAAGAAAAAGCGCGAGAAGGCAAGGAGAGGGGCCGAGGCTCCAGCTGCTGCTGCTGCTGCTTCTGGAAGTGAGAGGGGAAGTGAAAGGGGAAGGCTCTTGGAAGGGTTTCGGCACAAGGCTTTGGGATTGGAGAGTGAGGCACGAGGGGGTGAGAGAGAGGGTGCCTTTGAGTCCGCTCTTGGGGCTGGTGATAGTGGAAGGAAAGATGGAAGGGGAGGAGGAGGAAGGGGAGGAGGTGACGCTGGGGAACGGAGTGGGTTATGGGCTGAATCCCCCACTGTAAGCACAAAAGGCCTGAGAGGAGAATCCCCCACTGCAAGCACAAAACGCTTGAGAGGAGAATCCTCCACTGTAAGCACAGTGAGCCCCCCTCTCTCCCCTTCTTCCGTCTCTCCTCCTCTCACTCCACCACTCCAGTCCCCTCCTCTCCTCCCCTCTCAATCTTCCACCCTCTCGTCAACCTCCTCCTCGCTGGGATTCGGTTTTGAGAATTCTGAGAGCCGAATCCCAGCGAGCGCGCACACCCTCTCCTCCACCACCTCCTCCAGTGCGTTCTCCGACCGTCCGAGTTGTGAGACGACTCGAAACTCGGTGTTGGGAGCCAGTTTCGAGAATTCTGAGAGGCGAATCCCGGCGCACTCCGACCGCCCAGCTGCCTCCTCTCCTGCAGCCGCTGTCAAGAGAGTCTCCTGCGGCAAGATGGCTTTTGAGTCGAGTCAGAAGTCATCTAGTGCGCGCTCCGACTGTGCGGCTGCCTCCTCCCCTGCAGGGGCTGCCAAGAGTGTCTTTTGGAGCGGAAAGCTCAAGCCTCCTGCTACAGAAGCAGCAGCAGGAGGAGGAGGGGGAGGAGGCGGAGCAGGAGCAGAAGTGGGAGCAGCCGGAGCAGCAGGAGCAGGGATAGCAGGAGTAGCAGCAGAAGCAGCAGCAGGAGCAGGAGGAGCAGTAGGAGCTGCAGCGGCAGCAGTTTCGGGAACGGGAGGAGTAGCCGCATCAGCAGCAAGAGGAGGAAAAGCAGCAGCAGCAGGAGTAAACGCAGCAGGAGTAAGAAGGGGAGTAGCAGTGGGTGGTGTACCAACAAGGAGTGCATCTCAGGATGATATTACTGCAGCAACGACCGGCGAAGATGATACTGCCGCAACCACGGGCGAAGTTGATACTGCTGCCCCTGCTGTGGATAGGGCAGCCGGAGACATGTACGGGACAATTGCTGCTCCTGCTGCGGCCGTGGCTGCTGTTGAAAGGCCTGTGGAACCCAAGTGTTGGACAACTGCTGCTGCTGCTGAAACTGTTGTTGATGAGGTTACAGACCGCAACTGTGGAGCTGCTGTTGTTGAAGGGGCAGCCGAGTGCAGTCATGGGGCGAATGCTGCTGATGCTGCTGTTGTCAGTCAGGCATCAACAGCATCTGCTGGCCTGGCTCAGTCTTCTTCCAAGCCTTCCTGGAAGCTTCCGTCCTTGGGGCCCTTTGTAACATGCTTCACTTTCGACGAGAAGCCGAGGCGGAATTCTTCCCTGACCGAGCTTGCAGATGATTCGTCAGGAGATTCTTCGGGCAGTCTGGAAAGAGGCTTTCCGAGGAGCGAGTCCGAAGGAAAGCATGGTGGTGGAAAGCTGTTTGGACCGTCTGCTGTGATTATGAAAGGCAGCAAGCACAAGCGAGGGTCGAGAAGCAGCAGGGGATTTGGAACCAGGGACCAGTCCCTTGCTTAGATGGCCCAGGTTTTGGTTCGGTGTATCTGGCATGTCTTAGAGTATGAATATGGGCGGTGTATCAAATCGGAGGGGGGATGTAATATGAGAGGGCCAGTGATAGGAGGGACCATGTTGTCAAACATATTATGTATATGTATTATAAGCTTGATAGGTGTGTACTCTTAGAGGGTACAACCCCTTAGACAAAACCACCATGTTTCCCTCATACTAGTCACTTGTTCAAACTTTGATTTGGTATCACGCTAGGTTAGGTCCCCCCCGCCCACCTGCACTTCGGCCTTAGGCCTAGTCCTAGCCGCCCGTACCTAGCTGCCCGTCGCTAGCTGCCCGGTTTGAGCCGCCCGTAGCTAGCCGCTCGCCGGCCCCGTGATCGTCGGCCCCGCGCCCGCTAGCCCAGAGCTCGCTGGCCCCGCGCATGCCTACCCTGCGCCCGCCAGCCCCGCAATAGCTGGCACCGCGCCTGCTGACCCTGTGCTCGCCCGCCCCGTGCTGCTGGCCCCGCTTTCGCCAGCCTCTCGCCGCCGGCCCCGTTTCCCGCTGGCCCCATTCTCGCCTGCCCCGCACCCGCTGGCCCCGCTTTCGCCAGCCCCGCGCCTGCTGGCCATGTCTTCGCCACCCCTGCGCTGCTAGCCCCGCATTCGCCAGCCCCGCGCCCGTTGGTCCCGTTCTCGCTGGCCCCACGCTCGCTAGCCCCGTGCTCACCGGCCCCTGCGCTTGCTGGCCCCCGCGCTTGCCAGCCCCGCTCTCGCCAGCCCCGCGCCCGCTGGCTCCGAGTTTGCTGGCCCCGTGCTCGCCAGGCCCTAGCTCGCCGGTTCCCAGCTAGCCGGCCCTTAGCTCGCCGGCCCCCAGCTCAACCGGCACCTGCTCCGCCGGCCACAGCCTGCACCGGCCCGGCGCCGTCCAGCCGCCGAGCCACAGTGCCGCCGTCTCGATGCGCCGATGTGTGGCTGCGCCGCCGCGCCGCTCTGCCGCCCCCGACCTCTCGGCCTTGGCTCCCTTCTGAGCCGGCACTCCTGCCGGCAGTCTCCACTGCTCTCCACCACACTCCACCGCACTCCACCGCTCTTCACGGTACTCCACCGCACTCCACCACACTCCACCGCTCTCCACCGCACTCCACCTCACTCCATCGCTCTTCGCCGCCTTCCTCCACCTTTCCTCCTCCCCTTGTCAGTGGCAGCCAGCTGCTGCAGCCGTGGTGATGGCGGACTCACTGCTCCGCTTAGACGCGGAGGGTTAGGCGATCTACTTCGATGCGTGGCTCGTCTACCTTCGTCGTCACCTTACAGGTCCTGCTGAGCGTGAGGCATTTTCTGCTGCTCCGCTTGCTCGCGCTGTCTGGGAGTCGCGAGACGCCATTGCGCAGCTTGCTATTAGTCACGCACTACCCCTGTCTGAGCGTCCCCGCTTTACCACTGTAGGAAACGCCAAGGAATTCTTAGACGCAATCATCGTGCGCTATTCCACCCCTGCCTGAGCCTCTGCTGGTCGCCTGATCCTCCCCATGCTATTCCCTGATCTTGCGTCCTTCCCCACTGTCGCTGATCTTGCCACTCACCTCCGCGCACTAGAGACTAGCTACCGCGTCGCTAGCACTAAGGCTCAGCTCACTGCCTTTCCGCCGCCGCTTTCCGCTACCCTCTACCTCATTGCCACACGCCTTCCGGACCGCCTAGCCATTGCCCGCGACCACTTCCTTAGTCAGCACCCGGGTGACCTCACCCTTCCCGCCCTTGTCACCGCCCTGTCCACGATAAAGACTCGCCAGCGCACTATCGCTCAGTCTAGCGGTACAGTGCTGGTCCCTATCTTTTTGGGTTGTGCTCCCTCCCAGTGCACTTACTCTAACGTCTGTGCCGCAGCGGCTCAGACCGCCGCTGCGGCCTCAGCGCAGCCGCGTTCGGGTTGGGGTTGTTGCCCCAAAGGGTGGCGTGGCAGAGGGAAGGGTGGTGGGGGTGGGGAGGGTGGAGGAGGTGGGGGCGGGGATGGTGGTTACCGGGGCTGGGGGCCTAAAAAAAGCAGCAGCAACAGCAGAAGACTCAGCAGCAGCAGCAGCCGCAGCAGCAGTCGCGGCAGCTGCAGCAGTCGCCGTTGGGACCCCCACCGCCGTGGTGGACTAGCGGCGCTGGTGACGGTAGACATGGCGGTGGGGGGCGCAACTCGGTGTTTGGTGTTGGCTCAAGTGCGGTCACATGTCAGTACCAACTCCAGATCGGCCCCTGCCGCGGTACCGTCTGCGACCGTCTCGACTTAGGGTTTAGAAGAATTCGTCTGTGAGCTGATGCTGCTGCTGCAGACAGGACCGGGGCAGAGCTAGGCTGCTCACCTAAGTCTGTGAGCAAGAAAGTCAGCCAGCGGAGCTCCTGTGCAGCCATGGCTCCAGTGTAGATCTCAGCCTCATAGCTAGACTGGGCAACAGACGACGAGCGGGTGGACCTCAATGAGATGATGCCTGCACCAAGGCTAAAGCAGTAGCCCTGGGAGGACATAAGTATCTCAGCGTCGTCTGCCCACGAAGCGTTTGTCTGCCCTGTAAGGACCACTGGCCTCTTTCCTCCTAGCACTAGCCCATGCCCGATGTACTTGCTAGATAACGCAAAACCCTCTTAGCGGCCAACCACTGCTGTGGTTGGTGTTTGCGTGTAGCCACAAAGCAAGCCATGATGCTGAGAGGGTATACGAGATCTGGACAAATGCAAGTCATCAGGGTCCAGCAGTGGAGACTGCCGGTAGGAGTGCTGGCTCAGAAGGGAGCCAAGGCCGAGAGGTCGGGGGCGGCAGAGCGGCGCGGTGGCGCAGCGACAAGTCGGCGCATCGAGACGGCGGCACTGTGGCTCAGCGGCTGGACGGCGCCGGGCCGGCGCGGGCTGTGGCCGGCGGAGCAGGTACCGGTTGAGCTGGGGGCCAGCGAGCTAAGGGCCGGCTAGCTGGGAACCGGCGAGCTAGGGCCTGGCGAGCGCGGGGCCAGCAAACTCGGGGCCAACGGGCGCGGGGCTGGCGAGCGCGGGGCTGGCAAGCGCGGGGGCCAGCAAGCGCAAGGGCTGGTGAGCACAGGGCTGGCGAGCGCGGGGCCAGCGAGAACGGGACCAGCGGGCGCGGGGCTGGCGGAATCGGGGCCAGCGGGCACGGGGCGGGCGGACTCACGGCTAGCGGGAAACGGGGCCGGCGGCACGGGGCTGGCGAATGCGGGGCTAGCGGCGCAGGGGTGGTGAAGACATGGCTGCCGGGACGGTGAAGGTGAAGCGCCCTCCTAGCTCCTGTATGCAAGTCATCAGGTTCAAGGTGAAGCGCCCTCCTGGAGAGGCTTCAGTCAGCACGAGGATGTTGACTTCTTTCAGACCTTCTCCCCGAACCCAAAGATGACAACTCTGCGGGAGATGTTACACGTAGCAGCACAGCGTAACTATGAGCTACATTCTCTTGACTTCCGACAGCGTTTCTTCAGGGTAGTCTGCGCGAGCAGGTCTATGTGCGTTGCCCGCCAGGCTTCACCAACACCTTCCCCCCGGGGACCCAATGGCTCCTCTGGCGCCCGGTTTATGGCCTGCGGCAGGCGCCGCGCGAGTAGCATGACACGCTTCGTGCTACGTTAGCTGACCTGCAGTTCTTCTCGTCGTCTGCAGACCCCTCGCTCTTCGTTCGTGCTGGCCAGACCCCGTTCTACATCCTTGTCTACGTAGGCGACCTAATCTTTGCTACTGCAGACAGAGATGCACTGGCTTTCGTGAAGGCCGAGCTGTTGAGGAGACACACCTGCACTGACCTAAGAGAGCTGCGCCATTACCTTGGCCTACAGATCTCCAGGTTACCATCAGTCTCACACAGTCACACTTGGTGTGCCAAGTCCTTCAGAGGTTTGGTCTTGAGTTCTCCTCCGCATAGCCCACACCTCTGCCAGTAGATCACAGTCTCTCAGCTGCAGTCCCTGAGGAGTCAATAGAGCCTAGTGGTCCTTACGCAGAGCTGGTGGGTTGCCTCATGTACCTGAAGACTTGCACTCATCCAGATCTCGCATACCATCTCAGCATCATGGCTCGCTTTGTGGCCACACGCAGACACCAACCACAGCAGTGGTCGGCCGCTAAGAGGGTTTTGCGTTATCTAGCAAGTACGTCGGGCATGGGGCTAGTGCTAGGAGGAAAGAGGCCAGTGGTCCTTACAGGGCACACAGACGCTTCGTGGGCAGATGACGCTGAGACACTCAGGTCCTCCCAGGGCTACTGCTTTAGCCATTGTGCAGGCGTCATCTCATGGAGGTCCACCTGCTCGTCATCTGTTGCCCAGTCTAGCTGTGAGGCTGAGATCTACACTGGTGCCATGGCGGTATAGGAGCTCCGCTGGCTGACTTTCTTGCTCACAAACTTAGGTGAGCGGCCTAGCTCTGCCCCGGTCCTGTTCGCTGACAACAGGGCCATGATCCTCCTATGTCAGGAGCCTCGATTGGAGGGCAGAGCGAAGCACATCTAGCTGCAGTACTTCCTCCTACGCGAGCTACAGCAGCGCTGCTAGGCCCGCGTAGCACACTTGGCCTCAAGTGCCAACACAGCTGATATCTTTACGAGGGCACTTGCGCCTGAAGATCATCCGCGCCACTGTGTACAGCTTGGTCTGGCTCATGTGGCTTCTCACTTGCTAGGACCTTAATTGTGAGAGTACGACCCCGTTACACCACTTGTCCCTTTTCTTATTTCCTTCCGCGTTCATTTCTCTTTATCTCATCTCATTTGGTTTCCTGTTCTTCCTTTTCCATTAACCTTTGGTTTATCCTGCTATTATGATTATATCACCGACCAGGCTTGGGATGTACTGGTGCGCGCTATCTGGCGTAATCCTGCCGTAATCCCTTAAAGCCAATAGCCTCGCGTGGCTATACGCAGGGTGATTCTATCTTCTAGAAGGGTCTATTCCCTTAGGATAAGATAAACCTGGTTACCTGATGTACTTTGGAAGTATAAAAGCGCCTTGTACTGATCGATAGTGCAACCTTTCCTCGACACATTCAATCCTGTGACACTTGGTAATCAGAGCTTTTCTCACTCGACCGCGCCCAGCTAAGCAGCAGCAGCGGGGATCCTGCCTCGAAAAACCGCCGGGGGCGACCAATTCGACGCCGATTCTGGTAAGCACCAGCTCCGCGATTTTCGAATTACCCCCTCCGTGCGTGTTTTGAACAGGATGGCAAC